GAATATAGTATGCAGTTTAAACCAAGTAGCACATGAGAAAGTAACCATGAATGAAAGCAGTAAATGATAGTTGATTCATGCAGATGGGATACAGTATAAGGACAGAGCTGCAGTGAGGGTTTATTAATACACATCCTACATATTTCCAGTGTTTTAAAATGTTTCCATTATTCCTAACAGAATCCACCACATCATCATTCATTACAGTGACCACCTATTACTCTATGTTCAAAGGTACAGACATCAATACAGATTAGCGTTTTTAAGTACTCTTCATCACTTATTCGATAGATCTGCAGGGACTAAGCTTATATATTTAAAAAATCAAACAGCTGTCAAGACCTTAGACTGCATTCATAACTGTAGAATTTCTCTGAAAGAAAAGATGAAAAGTAAAATACTACATGGCAAAGTTTTGTGCTTATAAAATAGAGGGTAGTGTTGCTACAGAGGAAAGCTTTGAAATAAGATAACCATGTATCTGCAGCAGTTGTGTCAATATACTGCTGTGTGAAAAAGCCTGGAGGTACACAGTGCTATTAATAGAGTGGTTAAAAGACCCAATATCTGATTACGTGTCTTAAACTGGACATTTAGAATGGTTGGTAACATCATATTTTCATGTTATCTCCAATAATATTTCTGTTTGGTGTCAAGATCTTCTACACTACCTCAAGTTTCTCAGAAGAGTATCTGTGTTAATCTGTAACTTTTAAAACAACAAGGCTATGTCTACACTACATGCTTCTTGTGCAAAGAAGTCTTTTGCGTAAGAGTTCTTGCGCAAAAACTTCTTGCGCAAGGGCACGTCCACACTTCAAAGCACATCGCAAAAGCGATGTGCTTTTGCGCAAGAGAGTGTCCACACTGCAGCGATGCTCTTGCACAAGAAAGCTCTGATGGCCATTTGCAGAATGGCCGTCAGAGCACCTGTGCTTTTTCCCATAGGGGTTTCTTGCGCAAGAAACCCCTCTGGAGCATCCGCTCTTGCGCGAAAGGGAGTTATGCCTTGTAAAAGGAGGTTTACCAATGGCAGAAAAAGACTTCTGTTCTGCTGTTTTACTCTTGATTTGCTTGCACAAAAGCGCATTTGAGGTGTGGACGCTTCATGGGTTTTTGCGCAAAAACCTTGCAGTGTAGACATAGCCTAAGTGTTCCTGTGGCACCTTAGAGACTAATCAAAATAAATAGACTCATGAGCTGAAGTCATTTCTGAAGGTACAGATTTAGGAGGCCTTGTTTCTGGCAACTACAGCAAAGATGGTGAATGTTTCATTAGTAAAGTGATTATCATTCTCAGTGTCAAATATTTCGACATTCCAATATGGGTCAAGTGTCACCTGTACATTATTAGGAGGTATTGTGCCTATTGGGGCAGATTTAAAAGGCTCTGTTGACTTACTGAAGCAAGCAACTCAATACACAAACGGGATATATAGGAGGGGGTAGTTGCCCTCTAGAGAAATGATCCAGAATGTAGACTAAGCAGTCCTCATCGGAAGCTAGGAACAAGCCAAATTTGGAGAGAAGGTTTGAGCTGAAATGTGTTATGCAGTCATTAATTTATTAATAGAACCAACATTCAAAGGAAGGGTTCAAAGTGAGCACTTTAAAACAGATTGGGAAAGTTGCTTGACTTTAGCTATATGTTGCAAGCTTCTTGTTTATAGTTAAAATAACAGTTAACTGTTTCTTTTGTTACTGCAGCTTTAAGTTCCTTATTGTAGTCCAGTGGGCTAACTTGCCTTTATTATATTAGTAGTAATGCAAGGAATCTACAAGCCTGTACTAGCTTCATCTAATTAGCACAAGACTTAAGGCCTATGACCTTTGAACAGAAAAACTGCCAATGGAAACCTTAAGTCAGGGGTGGGGAACCTCAGGCCCAGAGGCTGGAAGCAACACCTACCTTGCCTGGATCCAGCCCCAAAGGCTTATCATTGGGGAGTCCACGCTGGCGATACAGCCACCCTGCCACCCACTGGCAGGGCTGGAGAATACAAAATCTACTAGCCTGGGCCCCATTAGACTCTGGCGTGTGAAGGGAATGTGAGGAGTGTCTTTCTCCTTCTCAGGGGCTTCTCATTTTTCTCCGGACTTGTGTGCGGCCCTTGAGTGATTTTTCTGTGGGTCAGTGGCCCCTCAACCCAAAAAAGTTTCCCCAGCCCTGAACTGAGAAGCTGAAAATAGTGTGTGTAAAGGGAAGTTCTAGCCACAGGTACATGATCCAACTACAAGAGCATGGTATCAATGAATAGACATATGTAACAGGTACAAGAGCTATATCCACGGATACCTAACTACAGAAGGTCCATGGTAACTAATTAACGTGCATAATGTATATTAAGATAACTGATATATTAATATATAGAAAAAAGACACTCCAACATTAATAAGATGAGGAAATACAAGTAAGGAAAAGGGGAAATCCCCTATTGAATATACATCAAACATAGTGGTGTTACCCTGGGTATACTGGTCAGTGTTAATAGGGTATGTAAAATAGAGTCTGTGTGACCTCCATTTTGTGACCTCCATAATTGTGTTCAGTTATAGAACACAAGCTTCCAGCTTCCTGCTTCCTGCCAAAAGTCAGCATTTCACATGGCCTTTATGTGTGCACTCCTCTCAAAACATTATGCACTCGGCACTATAATGTTGCACTCATCCCTCCAAGTTGCACACAACCCACTGAATAGCTGCACATGACCCTGATTTAATACACCCAACACACAAGTCCCTTTTCCCGCCTAAGAGCCAATAAAAGCCCCAGTTTGAGGAAGGCTCTGGTTTCTTCTTCCTCTCCTCCTTTTCTTTTCCTGGTTTCTAAGTTCTATTGGATGTGTTAACATCTATGGACATTGTGGTATATGTGGACATGCCACCTGTGTGTGGAGATACCCTGCATGAGGAGATTAGGCCGGAGTTAATAACAGCTGGACTCTTATCACCTTTCCACAATTCTTCCGGATCGGGTGGCCTTACTGAAGGATTAGTCACCACCATATCCAGAGAAGAGCTACTGTCCATATGGTTGAGGATCACTTGACAGCCCTACGACAAAAGACTGGGACTACTGCTTCAAGGAATCTCCTCGCAGGTCCTCCTCTGAGGCTTCAAAATAGCCAAGGAGTTGTAGGTCACGAGCTCCGACCGCGAGATTGTAATGTATATCCTATTTGTCTAAGGGTTTTTTCTATTTTCTATCTAGGGTTAAGATGGATTATAATTGAAGTTGTTCCTGTGTTTGCTGTTTCCAAATTCTTTTAAATATATGTTTTGGCCCTAAACTTTGTGTTTGCCTGTTACTAGATTGATAGATCACCGGTGATTGAGATACGGGATCTGCCAGGTGGACTCCGCTTCTTGATTCAGGGACAATTATATCTTTAGTGAGAGCGAGCTTTGTTTACATTCAAATTCTTTTCATAACCATTACAGCATTCTCTGTGTAACAGTGGTATCAACACAACATATTATAAAAGTTGCATGCCAGCCAAGGGGTGGTAGGAAGGAGATGTAGTTTTTGGGAGGTGCTAAAATGATGGCTCCTGGTGATCAGGAAAAGGTAATGAGGAAGATGATGGCTAACATTTCAGGCTGTACTACAATGGTGCAAGTATATGAATGTGTGGAGATTCATTCTGTATCATCTCTACCTACCTTATTGAGTTGGGATGTTTGTGACTGTCCTAAAAGTCTCAATAAACTATTTGTACATATAAAGGAGTTCCTGCAGTGTGAATGTTGCAATTGTGCACATCGGAATTCCCAACTGCATAATAATTTGAATAATATTGGGTCTGATTTTGAGACAAGAACCTGTCGACTCTCCAAATGGCAATTGGGGATTCTTAAATAATCTCTCTCAATAAATATATAGAGATCAGGCTACATCATGCATAAGAACATATTTTTGCATCTGACACATGCATCTGACGAAGTGGGTCTTTGCCCACGAAAGCTTATGCTCCTACACTTCAGTTAGTCTATAAGGTGCCACAGGACTCCTCGTCGCTTTAGTGGTTAAAAAGTTATCCAGCTTTTTTTTTAAGCTGCCCACTCAAAGTATTTATGGTACTAGGGTTAACAACCTGGAAAGGAAGTGCAGCTTGCCCTATAACATCTGCCATCTGCTTGTATCATCTCTCAGTGTGAGAATCTGCTAATTCATAACCAAACTATTTAGCATATTAAACTTGGTACAGTATTTGTTTTTGTTGATTTGCTAGGTAATCTGCTTTATTCTATTTGCTCTCACTTGGAGGTCTATCCCCTGCACTGTAGTTAAAAAATTAAATCTAGCTCCCTTCAGAAAATATGTCTGGCACTCTGCCTTACTGACTACTTTTGGCAGAAACTCCCAGAAGTTGGTTTTAAGCTGCATAAATACAAGTGTCCCATTTGTTTTAAAATGTATTGCCCTTCAATTTCTACAAGAGACGTCTTGGTTTTGTATTAAAGAAAAAAAGAAACATCTGATCAGTTTCCACTACACTGTTCATAATCTTCATGTTGGCTATTTTCAAGAACAAAGACTGGTTCTGTGAATCTCACTATAAAGGACGTATCAGGATAATAAAAGTAGATGCCTGGGAATAATTCCAGAGAAGTGCAAAGATTTTAAATCATTTTTTAAATCTGATACAGTTAGGTTATGATGTGTGAGTATGTGAGGCTGTGGTACTGTGGGATGTTACAGAGGCTTGTATGGAAGTGAGTATACATAATTAATTTAGGAAGAGGGAATACTAGAGCAGTCGTAAAGAAGAACTGCTTACAAAATAAAAGCTAATTAAAGCCCAAATATTTCAGAGCTTCCTTACAGACAACTTTTTGTGTATACTAAGTGGAAGTTATTTGTGCTTATTTTTAATAATTTTTGCTAAATAGTATTTAAGTGCAGTCAGTAAAGCTGTATAAGGAGCTTCAACAGTGATTCCTGCATCCACTGTAAAAGGTGTAGGCATATTTGCTAGGTACTTGAAGTTCCAACTCACCTCTACAGGAAGCCTGTGCTTAGTCTGATACAAAGAACGACAGATCTTCAAAATTTCACTTCCCATATTCTCTTTTTGCTCAGTAGGACATTTTGATAGCATGGCCACCCCTAGTTTCACCCATGGATTATTACTTGTGCATGAGCTAAAAAAGAAACAAACAAGAAAAACAAAATTCAGTAAACTATCTTTAACAAATTGCAAGTAAATTCATGGAATAATAGTATTTAAAAAAAAAAAAAGATCTGGGGCCAAGTAGAGGGCTCTGATTCTAAAACTGTCCCAGGTAACTTAGGGCAGCTTATGGACTATACTGCAGTGCTGGCTTTACATCAGCTGAAATTTGCCTTTCTTTGGAAGTGGGATTCTTAACTTGGTAGCTTCAACCAGATTCTGACCTCAGCCCCTCTCAGGTGATCAGGGAACCCCACTCCTGGTTTCTCAATGAAAAACCTTTACCTCAAAATCGCTGACAGAAATCAATACCAAGATCCAAATTAATTGTACATGTAGATGGATTGAAGAGGTGAACCATGTACATATACAACTGACTACTAATTAATACTCTACATACAGGCAGTCCCCGGGTTACGTACAAGATAGGGACTGTAGGTTTGTTCTTAAGTTGAATCTGTATGTAAGTCGGAACTGGCGTCCAGATTCAGCCGCTGCTGAAACTGACCTCCAGCTCTGACTTACATACAGATTCAACTTAAGAACAAACCTACAGTCCCTATCTTGTACGTAACCCGGGGACTGCCTGTACATGACTATTCCCAAAAGAGATTCTGAAAAATTACACCACGTACCCAAGACCCTCTGTGCCCGCACTATGCCCCACTGGAGTTGGGTTATCTTTTATGTAACAACAGAGATGGAGTCAGTGATGTGACTCTACTTAGCCTTAAAGGACAAAGTTAATTTTTAGCTGTTCAGGTGTGACTGGGACTCTAATCAGTGAGCATTCTGGCTGGCACACATTCAGGTTAATGGGTTTTCAGTGTTCCTTTGCAGTTAACTTTGAATGTTCATAAACCTGGTATGTGCTGAGGTAGTTTAAAGCATAGCACAGGCTTTGAGGGTTGCAAATATGTGAATGTCTGCCTCTTTGAAATTTTATGATTACAGGTTGAACATCCCAAATCAAGGACTCTCTGGTCCAGCAACATCCATGGTCCTTTCGGGACCATGGATGTTGCTGGACCAGAGAGCCCCAGAGGCAAGGAGAATGATCCAGCTGGGAATCCTGTGAATGCTGGTCCTGTGGTGGGTGTGCAGTCCTGCCCCATTGAGCCCCAGCCCTGGGAGTCTTGGTGGTGGCCAAGAGAAATCCCCAGCCTTAGTCGGGAACCCCAGCAGCAGTGGGTTCACCACCAGCTGGGGGGAAATCTTCAGTGGCAGGGGGTCCGGTGTGGGCTGGAAAGTCCCAGCCAGAGGAGGCTGACCCCCGGATCCCTGTCATTGATCTGGAAGCAGGACAGGCAGCCCAGGCTTTGGGGACCCACTGGGAGCCTGATCTCCCCGGGTCTGGCAAACTCTCTGGTTTTGGATTGTTCAGTTCCTGATCACATATTAGTTTTCAGCAGTAGATCTCAAAGCACTTCCAAATCAGATACATCTGTTACACATTTAAAATTGGTCCCTAAATATCCTTTCTTTAGTGAACAGCATTATGCACAATGGTTATTTTTCCAAAGTCAACATTTACCATGATATATATTTACCAATGCTATTACCTATTCTCAGTCTAAGGAAAAGAAACACAGATAAGAATATTACAGTGTGGGAAGTGTTGAAAAATGCTGACTTTTAAAATGGCAGTTACTGACATGAAGTACTAATAAATAACAATGCAATTAAGGAGGAATTTATAAAAAACCTCCATTCACTTTAGACTGTTAATGTCACGTAACAATGCTTTTTCACAATAGATATAGCAAAATATCACAATTTATCACAATCAAATTAATGTCTCAGTAGGGGTAGGCCAAAGCAAGCTCTAATCTACCTATTTTCAGGCACCTAGATAAATGGCTAACTTTCAGCCATGTTAAGTGCAACACTGAAGTCAATAGGAACTTCAAACATTTAGCACTTCTGAGGAGCTAAAAATTACATTTAGACTGTACATTACTTGAACAAATATCTGTACCTACAAAGAAAATCTTCTTTCCATCTCCTAATTAAAAAAAAGTCACCCATTCAACGCGTGGATTAAAACAAGAATGAACAGAAACCAGAACTAGGACTATAAAAAATTTCCCATGTGTTTGTAAAGCCTTGCTGCTAAGATACATGTCTAGTTCCATGCTAAACTCTCTCTAATATTATAGAACTGTGAAGGTTTCAGATGCATTAGATCTAGAAGGATATATAGATCCATTGTTCTCTCTTGTCCTGTTTTGTCTTAAAAGACTGTTAAGATTTGGAAGATGGATCACAAAGGCATGATTCAGTTAGCAAGAATTTGACATTACCAAATAGAATTAATCATTTTGACTTTCATCTTCTCTCTGTTGCATGATGTATAAGTACAATCCGTTCCAAATTCAAACAGAGGAAAATATTTGTGTGCATCTTTTTAAACTTCAAAGCTTAACATTTCATTGCTTTGACCATGACATGACATAGCATTATCAATTTTTTTCCAATGATGACTATGTTAATGAGATGTACCTTCCTAGGTGTTTGATCTTCAAGTGATAGACTGTGATTGGGGATAGATGACCTATCTTGTTTAAAAATAAAACACGGTCTAATCTTCTGATCCCTCAAACCATATCTTTTTAAAATTCCAAAGTTTTTTTTTCCACTTTCTTATAGATAGCAAAAAAGACTGAATGTCTTGAACTCAGAAGTGCCAAAATACCAAAAAAATAACTCCTTTGGTATTTTCCACCCTGCAACAAAACTCATGAAACTTCTTAAAATTTTCTCCAAAAAGTAAAACACCTGGATAATTTTTAAAAAAAGCTATTTTCCAAGGTAGCTCGTAGCAGTAATCTGCATGTACAGTCACATCCACTAAATTATTTCACATCATTCGAGGATGTAAAGAGAAAAGAAACATTTAATTTGCCTGCTTTAGAAAAGAAGGAACAAAATTGGCACTGTAATCTTTCCAAACACAAGTGTTCAAAAATGAATCAGGGCCCTATAGTTCATGAAATATATATTTAAAAAAAATGGGCAGCAAATATATTTTATTTGTCTTCTGGTTTCTGAGTCTTGAAGGCAGGCTGGCCCACCGGGGGCTGCTTGTGCAGCGGCTGGAGCCCCAGGCCCTTTAAACAACTGCTGGAGTAGCCCAATATGCCTAATCCCATCTCTGTCCCTTCTCCATTTGAGGCCACACACATTCCAGGGATCCTGGCGAGGCTGTTGGCCCCACTACTTTAGGGCATACTTAGCTCACATTTTCAAGATTTCCTCCAGACTTAAAAGGGCTACAAATACATTGCTTGTAAAATGAAAACTATGATTCTCATGTATTCAGATGACTCAAACAGCTGGAGCTTAGAAGAAAAACACCAAATATCACAAAGTTTATGATAAAGCCTAGAGACTTGGTAACACTGCACTGTGCCTTTATAAAGTGGAGGTACACTGAACACTAAATAAAGTAAAAAATGCAGTGACAAAAATCTAGCGGGAGAGCACTAAGCAATTACAAAGAAAAAGTTGCCCATATGTTGAGGAACCTCCTCCATAGCTCCCAGACATAGGAGGGATCCCATTTCCTGGGTGAGAAGAAGCTTGTGTGAAGGGTCCCTGAAGGAAGAGGAGGATAGCAGGGAGGAATGGAGGAAAAATGCAGGGTGTAACCAACTGCTATGCTGCAGAGCACTCTGCAGTCCAACTTGACAGTGGTCCATGCAGTGAGGAAAAGAAATGGATCCTAGACCAAGACTGAATCTCCATCCTCAGGCATATCCTCAAAGTGCCTGCTACGGAACACCTAACTAAGGGGGATACAGTAGGTTGTCAGTGTTTAAAGCCTCCATTTTTTCTTGTAGGAACTCTGCCTTTGTGGACCTGAGAATGTAGGCAGAGATGACCAGAGGCCAGAAGTGTTTCCCAGAGGCCTGTGGCATGTACAGGCTCAATGAGTAAAGTGTGGCACAGGAATATTTCAGGCCATGTAAGCCAGGCATTCGTCTGCTCTGAAAATAGAGCAGTGCCTTTGAAGGGGAGGTCCTGAATGGACTGCACCTCTCTTCAGACAGTGCCAAACATTGCAGCCATGAGCCCCACATCACGTACACTGCAGAGACCACAGACCTGGCCACCGAAACCATGATGCCAGAATGTGTGGTGCAACTGCTGCATAACCGCCCAAGTGACGAAGGACGAATGCTCCAATTCCATCATTGCCATTGACTAAATAAACAGCTTACGCTGTGAATCCAGGATTGGATTCCTGAGTTGTCTCAAGACCCATATTTGGTGGGCTGCTTCTTGCGGCACTTCTGCAGTGCCAGCAATGGTGAGTGGCACTGAGGCCGGGTGCTCCGTACCAAGGCTGAGGTACTTGGCACAGAATTGGAGTAGGAGGATTCTGAATCTGGTCCAAGTGCTGCCTCCATGGCTTTGAGATGAATGTCTCTGTGTGGGTTTTTTTTTAATATACAAATTTTACAGAGAAATTGCATTTCTCAGTAACATGCAATTTCCCTCAGACACTTCAGACATTTGTGTGGGGTCACTGACCAGCCTGGGTTTGTGACAAATGGAACAGTTTGAATCACAGGGATTGGGGCATGGCTTGTCCTAAGGACAAGGTCCTATAGGACCACTGATTGTTCTAATGTAAGTATTTACCTACCTATCTGCTAAGGCAACTATATACAATTATAAACAAAAAATAGGAATGGGAAAGGTGCATTGAGAGCACATTGTGAATTGCAAAGGCAGACAGCTGTTCCAGCGACCGTCATGGGTGGTAAGAGTGCAAGGCCAGAGCTGGCTGTACAGATAACACTGGGGGGAAAAAAATCTCTAACAGCTGTGAAAGTGTCACAAACCTAACACGGAATCGGCATAAGTGAAACTCAAAGAAGAACTCTACTTGCCAGCTGAGTAATTTACTTCATCAAGAATATCAGAATATTTATAAAATAAAATAATTCATAGACACCTCTGAAAATGTGTGGTTCTGCAACTGATTGCCATAAAAAGGAGTGAAAAAACTCTCAATTTTTATCACTAATACCTTCTGAAAAGAATCCTGCCTTGCATTACAGCTATCAACAGAATGCCAGTGCTAATTATTTTTAAAACATTTATTATGGGTTTGTATATTTGGAGGAAAAAAGGGAGGCGCTTTAATTCAGGGAAGTTATTAATGAAAATTATGAATTAAGAACTGTGATTATTTAAAAAAAATCTGATTTAAATTTAATTTAAAATCAAATCCAGTGAGAAAATGACAATTAGCCAATTATAAAATGAAAAAAAAAAAAAAAAAAAAAACCAGGACTAGTTTGTGTTCATCCTTAAGTAACAAATATATTCATCCAAAGAAAAGAATAAAGAGGGTAAGTTCTTTACACCTTTTTAATGGACCAAGAAGCAGACATACAATAATTATTTGCTTTTGATTTTTAGGAGCCAAAAACTCTTTGGGGTAACAAGCATAGCAATTTTCATTATCTTTCTTAAAAAGAACTTGCCTCATTAAAGAATAAGTAATTTCTGACATATTTGACCATTTCTAGGGAATCATTTTAGAAATCTAAACATATAATAAATTATCGAGTTCATGACTGGAAATCTTGATGCACAGGAGGAGTTTAAATGTACTGGTCAGCTGGCTTGCGATCACTTAAACTTCACAAGTCTCCTGGTCACTAGCATGCAGAAATGTTGGAAAGGTTGGTAACTATCTTCAAGACTGCAGAGTGCTTGCTGGCAGCTATTTCTATGCTTGTAGGTGACTGTTGTAAAACTGCATACTGATGTATATTTCTGTTCATAGCATGGTATTCACGGAACATTGATTTCTGTAGCCAGTGTAATTGCAATTTCTGCTTTTTCTCTCTTCTGTTACATTCCATCCTTAACAATATACAGTCAACTGAAAATCTCATTGAAGTCAATGGGAGCTGCAGGAGTTCGGCACCTCTGAAAATCAGGCTCAGGATTCTGAATCAACTGGTATTCAAAAAGACCGCGATGGGAGCTGAAGTAGGCCTTTAGAAAAAGTTTCCAATTTTCTATTACAAACCCCGGGCAGGCTTATTCCCAAGCATGAATACATAAACTTCAATCATTCTGACATTTTCATTGATTCAAATTAAATGTCAGCCTGATAGTTAATTCAGCCTACCCCCTTCCTCATTTCTTTGCAAGGCTTCTGATTTCTTTGTTAAAGTACTAGCTATCAATTGCTTTCTAATGTATTTAGGTCCTAATGTATTTAGACTGAAAAGGCTTATATAATTTATATGGGTCTCTAACTTTCTGGCCCTAACTGGGACTAAGACAAATCTTAAAACCAGTGAGGTTTGGTTGATCATTAATTGGGAAGAGAATACAATTTAACCTGCATTTTGTTTTTCCTCTGATTTTTCTGTGCCACTCTGCATTATAAATACAGGAATGAGTACAACATACATGGAGCAAATTTAGCTGCTGTACTGAATCAAGTTATGAATAGGTGCAAAATAAGATTGGGAATTTGTTCTTCAAGAAAAGAGGAAAAAAGGAACAGAACACACAGTATGAATGAACTAAGAACCCTGAGATTTTTGCCTCTGCTATGCAATGGGAAACAAAATAATAGGAAAAAGAGTCAGATTGCAATGTGGACTATTTCTCCCTCCAAGTAGCCACCCGAGAATCTCTGTCAAACTAGGGGAGGGTCACTTCTCCCTAGAGCAAGGTTTAAATTATGAGTAAAGATGAAAGATTCAATCATGTTGTTTCCTTGTGGAAGAGTCATGCAGGAAGCAGGCCCTAGCATGGAATCAGTCTCAATATGGCTGCGGAGCTACCTATGTTGCCAATGACACTGAGATCAGGAGATCAAAGAGATACATAGGGAGTCCCAACCATAACTGGCTTGGGAAATGTGTATATTTCAGCAGGGTTTTTCTGCCAACTACCAATCTTCCCAGTTATTTGTTGTTCAAAAAATTCTAATTATACAGGGAAAGGACAGTGGGAATCTAGGACAAGTTAGACAGCAAACACTCTATAATTCTTAATACATTAGAAATGCTTTCTTTGTTCCTCTAAAGACAGTAAAGGAGGAAATCAATTCTTAGTCCAGATATCCTGAACACATGATAAAGGCTTCAAGCTGAATAACCATTGCAGGTTGGTCCCCAACATATCAGTGTCTTAAATGCACAGAAAAGTATTTGTTTTCAGGAAAATAAAAATCCACCTCAATTTTTCAAACAAGTCTTTTTGGGAGTTTATACCCTATATTCCAACAGAATGTGATCAATGGCACCTGGAACTCAAAGTTAAGTGGAAGTTAGTAAAAAGCCTCTCTCGCCTAACTGCTGACAGATGAAAGATGGGACTCTGTGCTGGCTAGCCCATAAAAAGTTAATTTTATTGCTTTCCTTGAAAGAAGAAGAGAAGAATGGATGACTGCTGACGGCATAATGTAGAGACAAAGAGACTCTTTAAATCTTATAAACCATGATCAAAGCATTGAACAAATGGAATGTATAGAAGTACTACAGGCAGACAGGAAGAAAAAAGACTGATACAAAAATATTGTCAAATTATGTCCTGCCATAACTTCAACACATGCACAATGCTGCAGAAATAATCTTGTATTTATTTTCTGGACATCAGTGGTGCCAATACGCATCCCCTCCTTTCCCTGTAGAGTACTCTGGGATGGGACAACTTGGCAGCAGTTGTAAAACAGAAAAGTATCATTGCTTGGTCATATATAAAAGTCTGGATTGTTCTATCCACCTTTGGCCCTTCCTGCAACTTTGCTAAAAAAAGCAGCTTCACAAAGAAGTTCTGAAGGAGCCAAAACTGGAGTGAAAATCTTTAATCACACTTAGGTGTTGATAGCTTATAAAGTCTTTATTTTGGACTAGGCTTTTTAAGTGTAATAAGAAACATGAAGAACAGCAAAACTAATGTGTGCCTCCTCAAGGATGCTTTTCAGAAGAAACTTCTTATCCTACATATGCAATTGGATTCTGTGTGCCAAAGAGGGCTATTTAAGATGCCTATACTCCTTTTATGTAACAGTTTGTTTGAATTCACTGACCAGAGGCTGCATAAAAGGTTCAGTAATTTTAAAATCAAAGTAGGAGAGAGCATATTGTTCTGCCAAGTTTCTCTTTGAAGATATACTTACATGCTTGCACTTTTCATAGGTGGCCAAGCTTGGAGGAGTAAAACCAAGTGTTGAAAATCAGACTGACTGTTACTAGAGTTCAAGAGTTCCAGGAAAAGAGAGTACCTTTTTTCTTCATTTTCAATATCAATTATCTCTACCTGCAAAAAAAAAAAAAAAAAATAAAGGCAGAAAGAACAAAATTTAAAGCAGCTAACTCTGCCATACCTTTCTAACAATAAATGTGATGTGTTATATATGTGGAGGTCATTAGTACTGTAAAGCAAGGCAGAAACACAGCCTAAGCAATTTTCTCTTAATCTTCAATTATAAGAAACAAGGAAGCACACAGACAATGCAAAATTACTTTAAAAACGGTTCCTAAAATAATTAAAATCCACTAAAGTACATCAATGGAATAGTTCAAATAATCTCTCACCTCCAACTTTTCACATAATTCATCAGCAATTCCCTGGGCCTTTAAAAAACAGTCCCTCTGATATTTTCCCAACATATATTACTGTGTACAATTATTTTATTTATATTAAAAATGAATGCCTCCCAAGCACACAACCATGCTCACATGAAGTTAAACAACAATCTATCAACATTCTACCTAAATTGTCTGCATCTAATCTTCACTTACTGGGAAAGAAAAGTTTGGGTGCTGATTTTTAATTCATGTTTGCCACGAACAGCAGCTGTTGACTAGCATTGTAAGATTTCTCTGCATAGGTATTACAAATTAAAAAAATACTCTGCATATCTGGCACACCATCATCTTCACTCAGAAGACAAGGCTTTTTCTATAATTTACTTAGTCCTCCCTCCCCACCCCCGCGGCTTTCAATTGAGAACAGGTTCAAAATATGGACATGAAATCTTATTTTCAACTGAAATCTTATTTTCATGGTACACATGAAATCTTATTTTCAACTGAATTACAATACACAATGTTAAATGTTAATTTTTTTTCAGTCCAAAAATAGTTTAAAAACATCAAATGAACCAAAAAGTTTTCCTCAGGTTTGTCATAACGTTAAAGCATTAAAGCTAATGTTTTTATAGCTTTGAGTGACTTGGGTAATAAGGGCAAAATTTTCTAATGAGGCTGAAAAATATAGATTGCCCATGAATTTGTGGAAATGCCCCTAAAATTTTGTGGCTTAATGTTGGTAAAACACTGGTAAGAAAATACCTTGGGAGGAGTGGAAGGCAGACACCACCTTGTGTGAAAAAGAAGGGTGAGGGCAGAGCCTGACCTTGTCCTTGAAGAACACTGTATAGGGGGAATCCGTGGTGAGCGCCCTGAGTTCAGATACCTGCCTGGCAGATGTGAGCACTAGCAGGAGGGACACCTTGTAGGACAGGTATAGTAGGGAACACGTTGCCAATGGCTCGAACGGGGGCCCCATGAGTTTGGAGAGAACCAGGTTGAGGTCCCATTGAGGAATGAGCTGACAGACATGAAGGTAGAGTCTGTCCATTCCTTTCAGAAACCTGTTAACCATGGGGTTTGCAAACAGGTTTTCCTCCCTTCTCCAGGATGGAAGGCTGAAATAGCTGCTCGGTGGACTTTAATGGAGGAGGAGAAGAGTCACTGGAGCCTGAGGTCCAATAGGTAATCCAAGATCATGGGGATTGTCGCCCACCTGGGGGACACCCCCTTCTGGGAGAGACAGACGTAGAACTGCTTCTACTTGGTGAGGTAGGTGGCCCTAGTGGAGGGTTTTCTATTACCCAATAGGACTTCCTGGACCCAGGCCGAGCACTGAAGCTCTGCCGCCATCAGACATGGAGCTTCCACGCTGTCAGGTGCCGCGACTGCAGATCCGGGTGGCAGAGTCTGCCCGAGTCCTGAAAGATCAGGTCCAGGGACAGCAGGAGGACCATAGGTCTCTCGCATGACAGACTGAGGAGAGTTGAGAACCAGTGTTGTCTGGGCCATGCTGGGGTGATGAGGATCAGGGATGCCCTGAACTGCCATACTCTCAGGAGGACTCTGTGAATGAGTGGGAATGGTGGGAAGACATAGAGCAGGCCCTCCGGAGGAGAGCGTCTCCCAGAGAACCCTGTCCCATGAGGGAGCAGGACCTCAGGCATTTCTTGTTCTCCCCTGTGGCGAACAGGTCTAGATGGGGAGACCCCACCCCATGCGTGGAAAATGGAGCAGGCCACATCCCACCTTTGGGACCATTCGTGTCCCGCAAAAGTCCTGCTCAGCCTGTCCACTAGGACACTTTAAGAACTTGGGAGGTACGAAGCCATCGGGTGGATGTCCGCCCCGATGCAGAGATCCCGGAGGCGGATCGCCTCCAGACATAGGCGAGGGGATTGTGCCCCACCCTTCTTGTTTATATAAGCCACCACTGTCATGTTGTCTGACAGGATAAGGATGGACTTGCCCCTGAGTTGGGGAAGGAAAACTGTACAGGCCAGACGGACTGCCTGGAGCTCCCTGATATTGATATGCAGGGAGAGCTCGTCTGCGCACCACATACCTTGTGTTTGCAGGTCCCTCAGGTGGGCTCCCCAACTGGTGTCCGATGCATCCGTGATAAGACGGGTGGACGGCACTGGTCTGGAGAAGGGGACCCCTGTGCAGACTTCCCCTTGACTGGTCCACCAGTCCAGCAAGAGGAGGAGGGGGGAGGGGAAGAGAGGGAACCATGAGTGGACAACTGGGTTGTGGACTTGCGATAGCCACATCTGAAGTGGGCACATGTGCAGTCTGGCATGCTGCAGTACATAAGTGCAGGCAGCCACAAGGCCCAAGAGCTACATGCATGTCCGGGTGGTAGTCACTGGAAAGTTCTGTAATGCCCCCTGACGGCAACCTCTATTGTGAGGAACCAGGACCTGGGAAGTGAAGCCCTTGCCGACGAAGAGTCCAAGGAGGCATCCACGAACTCTATTATCAGGGTTGATGTCAGGGTTAGGGTTGACTTGTCCAAGCTGAGAAGGAGCCCAAGATCCCCCAAGAGGCTCCAGACCAGACCGATGTGGAGGTCTCACCTGACTCTCGGAGTCTCCCCTGAGGAGCCAGTCGTTGAGGTAGAGGAACACTTGAACACCCCTTTTCCTCAGAATGGTGGCCATAATCGCCATGCATTTGGTAAAGACCCAAGGGACCGTCAAAATGCCAAAAGGGAGGGCTGTGAATTGGTAGTGGTCTGGGCCCACAGTAAAATGAAGGAACCTTTGATGGTGGGAGGCAATGGAAATATGGAAATAAGCATCCTTTAAGTCGAGGGCAGCATACCAGTCTCCGGGAGCTAACGCGGGAATTATGGAGGCCAATTTTACCATTTTGAATTTTGCTTTGGAAATGAAAGAGTTGAGGGCTCTGAGGTCCAAAATGGGGTAGAGACCCCCTTTGGCACTAGGAAATAGCGGGAATAGAATCCCCTGACCCAAAAGTCGGAGGGAACCCGCTCTACCTTCCTCCACCCCGGCGCAAGGAGATGTTGAATCTCTTCTTCAAGCAGAGGCTCATGAGAGGGGTCCCTGAAAAGGGACGGAGTAGGGGGTTAGGAGGGTGGGGGCAAGTGGAAAGGAATTACATAACCCCTTTCTACTACCTCCCCCGGCCTGGATGGATCCACACTTTGGTCCTGGTTGTATGCCCAGGGTGTCCAAAATAGCCACTGGCCTGGAGGTTGCGGAGGCCATGTCTGTTGTAGCATCGGCACCAGGACTGGTTGCGCCCACTGTTGTTGGTTGACAGGACAGACTGCAGTGCTGGGAGTGGGACCGGTTCTGAGAGTGGGATTGGGAGCCCCTCGATGACCAAGTGGACTCTGCCTCAGAGTTGGACAAGTACTCCGAGGCGGACCAAGGCTCTGCTGACGCAGGCGCCGAAGAAGCTGCTGCATGTGTGGCTATGGATTCGGGCTTACTGCGGTGTTGAGACGGAGGCATGGCGGCACGGGTGTCCCGTGAGGAGGTAGGTGCTGCAGGGGCCAGTGCCAAGGACGGGGCTGGGCGATGATACCGCGCCAAGCCCGGTGCCATGTCGTAGAAGGGTCCCAGAACTGGGCATGACTCAGTGGCCAGTGCCGCAGACGGTGCTGATGGAGCAGGGAGGGTCAGGTGGTGATCCCTGGCCCACAGTGCCGAGTCTTCAGGCGTCCTAGACGGAGGCCGGTGCCAACTCGTCCCGTGCTGTCTGGAGGGGATTGGAGTGGGAGGAGGTGGTGAGGGAGAGGAGTCAATTAGGACCCTTGCTGCCTCGAGAGCCTCCAGTGTTGAGGGCTTGGGAAAGTCCTCCAGAGGACTGATCTCCCTATGCAAGCATGAAAGTCTGCCTGACCGAGATAGCCTGGGCTCCGGACTTGTAGGCACCATGTGCCCCACTGGAGGGTACATGGAGGGCACATGCTTTGGTGGAGACCTGCCTGTCTCTTTCTCTGAGGTGCAGGGGTCTGGAACCAGTGCTGGGGTCTGCACGGTGCCGGAGAAACATGCTGCACTGAACTGTCTTGCACCAACGCACTCTGGGAGACTGGAGCTGGGTCCGACGCCGGCCTGAGGGCTGCTTCCCTCAAAATGATTTTGAGACGCGACTCTCTCCTGCACTTGGTGCGGGATTTAAGGCTTTGCAGATCTTACAAGCTTCTGCAAGGTGAGCCTCCCCCAGACACTTTAAGCAGGCCAAATGCGGGTTACCACAGGGCATAGGTGATACTTTTTGCAGGGCTTGAACCCTTGCGGACTGGGCATGCACTGCCGCGGGCGCACGGCATGCCATGGCAGGGGACAAAAAACAACAAGAGAGTCTTTAACTTAATTTGCAGCTACTTAGTCAGTGATTAACTGTGAAAACAGAAGACAAACACTGAAGACAACAATCGCTATCGAGAGCTGAGGGTTGTTCCAATGACCATCACGGCAGTAAGAAGGAACTGAGTGGGTGGAGGGCCAGCAGAGGTATATATGGGCCCGTATACTGGTGCCACTCCAGGGGGTTCCCCTGCTGGCCCGACAGGTACTGCTGAGGGAAAAATCTCCAGCAACACGTGCATGCTGCAAGCGCACACCTACACGGAATGCACATGAGCAATCACTGAAAGAAGAATATTATTTTCCCCTTCTGACTGCTTTTGCCCTTTATATATATTATCAAGGTTTCATAAGTTGATTGTGGCCATGACTATTTTTG